CCCCCCCCCCCCCCCCCCCCCCTGCCTTCTCTGCCAACTCCTTTCCCTCCATCCCCTCCTCCCCCTGCCCCCTCCCCCATTCCCCCCCCCCCTCCCCATCCTTCTCTCCCCCCCCCCCCCCCCTCCATCCTCCTCCTTCTCTTCCCTCTCCCAACTCCCCCCCCCCCCATCCTCCTCCTCCTCCCTCTCTCCAACTCCTTTCCCTACCATCCTCCCTCCTGCCTTCTCTGCCCAACTCCTTTCCCTACCATCCCCCCTCCTGCCCCCCTACCATCCTCCTCCTGCCTTCTCTGCCCAACTCCTTTCCCTACCATCCTCCCCCCTGCCTTCTCTGCCCAACTCCTTTCCCTACCATCCTCCTCCTGCCTTTCTCTGCCCAACTCCTTTCACTACCATCCTCCTCCTGCCTTCTCTGCCCAACTCCTTTCCCTACCATCCCCCTCCTGCCTTCTCTGCCCAACTCCCTTTCCTACCATCCTCCTCCCTGCCTTCTCTGCCCACTCCTTTCACTACCATCCTCCTCCTGCCTTCTCTGCCCAACTCCTTTCCCTACCATCCTCCTCCTGCCTTTCTCTGCCCAACTCCTTTCCTCACCATTCTGTCCATCTTTAGTCACCATAATGCTTCTTCTTGTTCCCTCCTCCCTATATTCAGAGGTGTCATTAAAAGGCACGTGGGGGTGGGGGGGGGGGGGGGTCGGGGGCCTTTGAGTCTGGAAAAGAAGAGGGAGGAGAGCTGACAAGGGGCCCCCTGGACTCGTGGACAGCTGTGTCTTCTGCACCCCATCTAAAGAGTACCTGTCTCCATAGCACAGCTCTCTATACAGGAAGCCGTCAGGAAATGATAAAGGTGCTCAGAGCAGTGCAGAGCAGGACCCTGGAAAGCTTTCCTGCGGCAAAGGGGTCCTGGGGGCCCCGCAGGTTCAGGCTGTACCCCCCCCTCTATCTTCCTGTAGTCACATTCCAACCAAATATAGAATCTTTATACGCTGTCGTTTTCAGAGTTACAATTTTCCGGTCAGTAAAATGACCCGAAAGCTGTCCTTCGATTGGCTGCACACCAGCTGAAAATTGACATCAGGCTTACAGTTCGGAGCAGCTGCTTCGCTTTGGTAAGGGACTTGTGGGGACTTTCACAGCAGCATACGGTAAGAGCAGGCTGGAGGCGGAGCAGTGACACGGAGACTGCGGAATCAAAGGACGGGGACAGACGTTGTCACCCTTTAAATGGAAGGGGCGCAGGGATCGAGCGAGGACGACTTTACAGATCGAATTATTATTCCTTCCAGATCCTGCACAGCATCATCGCGCTAATTATCGTCAAGCCGTCACATAAACATCCTGCTGGAGGCCAAATTAACCCCCCAGAAGGGTGGCGCATCCAGAACTCCCTATGCACTATGAATCCGTCTGGGAGAAGGGCGGGGCATCTAGGAGGGGGGAGGGGGATATCTCTGTGAACTTGACACATCTGGAGCCTCCCCCTCCCCCCACCCGCGCTGACACTTCCACAGGAGGAGTGCTAATTATAACCGGCTATTTATAAAGCGCAGGGGGCGGGGCGCGCGGTCACATGATCACCCCCCCCCCGTCGCAGACACTTACCCCCGGCAACGTCTTCTGTTCATGGAGGGCACTCCTGAGCTTTCAGCGCTGACTCCCGGGCGCAGTACGTCAGGAAGGCGCATCCTGCAGGGGAGAAGAGACACCCACAATTACACCCAGCACATAGGAGAGGGGGAGAAAAATGGGCACAGGGATGTTGGGAACCCCTCATGATGGGCACAGGGATGATGGAACCCCTCATGATGGGCACAGGGATGGTGGGAACCCCTCATGATGGGCACAGGGATGGAGGAAACCCCTCATAATGGGCACAGGGATGGTGGGAACCCCTCATAATGGCACAGGGATGGTGGGAACCCCTCATAATGGGCACAGCGGGTGTACAGACCCGGGAACTCAGCACAGGGACGGTGGGAACCCCTCATAATGGGCATAGCGGGTGTACAGACCCGGGAACACAGCACAGGTATGGTGGGAACCCCTCATAATGGGCACAGGGATGGTGGGAACCCCTCATAATGGGCACAGGGAATGGTGGGAACCCCTCATAATGGGCACAGCGGGTGTACAGACCCGAGAACTCGGCACAGGGATGGTGGGAACCCCTCATAATGGGCACAGGTGGGTGGGGGCGTACAGACCGGGGAACTCAGCACAGGGATGGTGGAAACCCCTCATAATGGGCGCAGGGATTGTGTACAGACCCGGGAACTCAGCACAGGGATGGTGGGAACCCCTCATAGTGGGCACAGCAGGTGTACAGACCCGGGGCGGGAACTCGGCACAGGGATGGTGGGAACCCCTCATCCTGGGGCACAGCAGGTCTACAGACCCGGGAACTGGGCACAGGGATGGTGGGAACCCCTCATAATGGGCACAGCGGGGGTCCAGACCCGGGAACTCGGCACAGGGATGGTGGTGGGAACTCCTCATAATGGACACAGCAGGCGTACAGACCAGGGAACTCAGCACAGGGATGGTGGGAACCCCTTTTACATAATGGGCACGGCGGGCGTACAGACCCTGGAGACTTGGCACAGGGATGGTGGGAACCCCTCATAATGGGTTCTGTGTCCTCTGTGTCCCCTCCTCTGTGTCCCCTTCCTCTGTGTCCCCTTTCCTCTGTGTCCCCTCCTCTGTGTCCTTTCTCCTCTGTCCCCTCCTCTGTGTCCCCCTCCTCTGTGTCTCTGTGTCCCCTCCTTTTTGTGTCCCTCCTTTCCTCTGTGTCCCCCCTCTGTGTCCCCTTCCTCTGTTCCCCTTCCCCTCTGTGTCTGTGTTTCCTCTGTGTCCCCTCCTCTTGTCCCCTTTGTCCTCTGTGTGTCCCCTCCTCTGTGTCCCCTTCCTCCTGTGTCCCCTTTTTCTGTGTCCCCTCCTCTGTGTCCCCTCCTCTGTGTGTCCCCCGTCCTGTGTCCCCTCCTCTGTGTCCCCTCCTCTGTGTCCCCTTTCCCTCTGTGTCCCCTCCCTGTGTCCCCTCCTCTCCTCTGTGTCCCCTTTTTCTCTGTGTCCCCTCCTCTGTGTCCCCTCCTCTGTGTCCCCTTCCTCTGTGTCCCCGTCCTGTGTCCCCTCCTCTGTGTCCCCTTCCTCTGTGTCCCCTCCCTCTGTGTCCCCTTCCTCTGTGTCCCCTCCTCTGTGTCCCCTTCCTCTGTGTCCCCGTCCTGTGTCCCCTCCTCTGTGTCCCCTCCTCTGTGTCCCCTCCTCTGTGTCCCCTTCCTCTGTGTCCCCTCCTCTGTGTCCCCTTCCTCTGTGTCCCTGTCCTCTTGTCCTGTGTCCCCTTCCTCTGTGTCCCTCCTCTGTGTCCCTTCCTCTGTGTCCCCTCCTCTGTGTCCCCTTCCTCTGTGTCCCCGTCCTGTGTCCCCTCCTCTGTGTCCCCTCCTCTGTGTCCCCTTCCTCTGTGTCCCTGTCCTCTGTGTCCCCTCCTCTGTGTCCCCTCCCTCTGTGTCCCCTTCCTCTGTGTCCCTTCCTCTGTGTCCCCTCCTCTGTGTCCCCTTCCTCTGTGTCCCTCCTCTGTGTCTCCTTCCTCTGTGTCCCCGTCCTCTGTGCCTCTAATGGGGTGACAACGCTCACTTGCTTTATTAATGGAAGTCAGTGTTGTCACCCCAGGAGGGACTACAGAACACCTCCCCCTCTCCTCAGCTACATAACATGGGGAGGGGATTCGTAGTCAGGTGACAGATGCCAGGAGATGACCAGCACGCTGGATTTTCAGGTATTGATCCTTTTACAGAAAATCATCTTAGACTGAAAAGAGAAAAAGGAAAGCAGCCGCCACATCTGAGGACGAGAATCACATCCAATCACGAGAGAGCTGCAACATGTGTGACAACTCAGCGGGTATTTATTCCCCCTCAGAGATCACGGGACTCCCCTGACAATGCCGCCACCTGCTTCTATATCCAGAAGGACGGCACCATCCGTATTCAGGCGGGGTCACCGACTACTTCCGGGACTGAGATGGCAGAATGGAAACGCCTCCTCCTCCTTCTACAAAGTTACAATGTACAGTCTGATCACTGGGAGAGGAGACTGAGGAAACGCCTCCTCCTCCTTCTACAAAGTTACAATGTACTGTCTGATCACTGGGGGAGAGGAACTGAGGAAACGCCTCCTCCTCCTTCTACAAAGTTACAATGTACGGTCTGATCACTGGGGAGAGGAGACTGAGGAAACGACTCCTCCTCCTTCTACAAAGTTACAATGTACAGTCTGATCACCGGGGGAGGAGACTGAGGAAATGACCCCTCCTCCTCCTACAAAAGTTACAATGTACGGTCTGATCACCGGGGGAGGAGACTGAGGAAACGCCTCCTCCTCCTTCTACAAAGTTACAATGTACGGTCTGATCACTGGGGGAGGGGAGACTGAGGAAACGACTCCTCCTCCTTCTACAAAGTTACAATGTACGGTCTGATCACTGGGGGAGGGGACTGAGGAAACGACTCCTCCTCCTTCTACAAAGTTACAATGTACAGTCTGATCACCGGGGGAGGAGACTGAGGAAATGACTCCCTCCTCCTCCTACAAAGTTACAATGTACGGTCTGATCACCGGGGGAGGAGACTGAGGAAATGACTCCTCCTCCTCCTACAAAGTTACAATGTACGGTCTGATCACCGGGGGAGGAGACTGAGGAAATGACTCCTCCTCCTTCTACAAAGTTACAATGTACGGTCTGATCACTGGGGGAGGAGACTGAGGAAATGACTCCTCCTCCCTTCTACAAAGTTACAATGTACAGGTCTGATCACTGGGGGAGGGGAGACTGAGGAAATGCCTCCGCCTCCTTCTACAAAGGTACAATGTACAGTCTGATCACTGGGGGAGGGGAGACTGAGGAAATTACTCTACAAAGGTACAATGCCTCCTTCTACAAAGGGGAGGGGACAAAATGACTCCGCCTCCTTCTACAAAGTACAATGTCAGATCACACTGGGGGAGGGGAGACTGAGGAAATTACTCCTCCTCCCTTTGTCATATGGAGAAATACAATCTAATCGGCCAATCATGAGAGACTTTTTCTAAATGGCTTAAATAGATATTCACTATTATCATTTTTATTTTCATTGGTTATTAAATAATATATTTAAACAATTGAAACAAATCATTTTATTTATTTATTATTATTATTATTCCTAATAATTTAAAAATATGTTTTAATTATCATTAATAATAATTAATAAAATGATTTGTTTCAATTGTTTAAATATATATTATTTAATAACCAGTGAAAATATAAATAACAACAATAAATATTATTCTCAGTTTATAGTTATTATTATATTTAATATATTATTGTTACTCTGTAATATTTACGACTCGCTCTCTTTATTTTTGTAAGGATTTCCCCTCCCCCATCTCTTTGAATTTCTATGGCACAATCAGCCGCCGAACTCCCCCCCCCCCCCCCCAACCTTCCATGATAGAATTCCCTCGTCTGCTGGGAAGTCAGAGGAATGTGTACACTGTGACTGCTCCTGTAAAATGCTGTCCGCCTGGCTGCCATGCTGATCCTCTGGTTGGTATATGGTAGGGGGGAGCTGGTACACCCGTACAAGACTGAAGGGGAGGAGCCGGTACACCTGTGCAAGACTGAAGGGGAGGAGCCAGTACACCTGTGTAAGACTGAAGGGGAGGAGCCGGGACACCCTGTGCAAGACTGGAGGGGAGGAGCCGGTACACCTGTGCAAGACTGAAGGGGAGGAGCCGCTACACCTGTGCAAGACTGGAGGGGAGGAGCCGGTACACCTGTGCAAGCCTGAAGGGGAGGAGCAGGTACACCTGTGTAAGACTGAAGGGGAGGAGCTTGTACACCTGTGCAAGACTGAAGGGGAGGAGCCAGTACACCTGTGCAAAACTGGAGGGGAGGAGGTGGGACACCTATGCAAGAATGAAGGGGAGGAGCCTGTACCCCTGTGCAAGATTAAAGGGGAGGAGCCGCTACACCCTGTGCAAGACTGAAGGGAGGAGCCAGTACACCTATGCAAGACTGAAGAGGAGGAGCCGCACACCTGTGCAAGAATGAAGGGGAGGAGCCTGTACCCCTGTGCAAGACTAAAGGGGAGGAGCCGCTACACCTGTGCAAGACTGGAGGGGAGGAGGTGGGACACCTGTACAAGACTGAAGGGGAGGAGCCGGTACACCTGTGTAAGATGTTTATGTCGAAAGCCGATCAACTTCTCTAGCGGGCCTCCCATGTCTATTGTTGGCTGTCAAAATTCTTGACCTCCCTTTAATAAGCCCATAAATTCCGACCACTGGAGACGTCCCATAAACTCCCACCAATGGAGACGTCCCATAACCTCCACCAATGGAGACGTCCCATAAACCTCCCACCACTGGAGACGTCCCATAACCTCCCACCACTGGAGACGTCCCATAACCTCCCACCACTGGAGACGTCCCATAACCTCCCACCACTGGAGACGTCCCATAACCTCCCACCAATGGAGACGTCCCATAACCTCCCACCACTGGAGACGTCCCATAACCTCCCACCAATGGAGACGTCCCATAACCTCCCACCACTGGAGATGCCCCCATAACCTCCCACCACTGGAGACGTCCCATAACCTCCCGCCACTGGAGACGTCCCATAACCTCCCACCACTGGAGACGTCCCATAACCTCAGACCACTGGAGACACCCCATAACCTCCCTCCACTGGAGACACCCCATAACCTCCCACCACTGGAGACGTCCCATAACCTCCCACCACTGGAGACGTCCCATAACCTCCCACCACTGGAGACACCCCATAACCTCCCACCACTGGAGACACCCCATAACCTCCCACCACTGGAGACGCCCCCATAACCTCCCACCACTGGAGACACCCCATAAACTCCCACCACTGGAGACACCCCATAACCTCCCACCACTGGAGACGTCCCATAACCTCCCACCACTGGAGACACTTTATAACCTCCCACCACTGGAGACACCCCATAACCTCCCACCACTGGACACGTCCCATAACCTCCCACCACTGGAGACGCCCCATAACCTCCCACCACTGGAGACGCCCCATAACCTCCCACCACTGGAGACGTCCCATAACCTCCCGCCACTGGAGACGTCCCATAACCTCCCGCCACTGGAGACGTCCCATAACCTCCCACCACTGGACACGTCCCATAACCTCCCACTACTGGACACGTCCCATAACCTCCCGCCACTGGAGACACCCCATAACCTCCCACCACTGGAGACGTCCCATAACCTCCCACCACTGGAGACGTCCCATAACCTCCCGCCACTGGAGACGTCCCATAACCTCAGACCACTGGAGACACCCCATAACCTCCCTCCACTGGAGACACCCCATAACCTCCCACCACTGGAGACGTCCCATAACCTCCCACCAATGGAGACGTCCCATAACCTCCCACCACTGGAGACGCCCCATAACCTCCCGCCACTGGAGACGTCCCATAACCTC